ACCGAGCTGTCGCCCCCGACCCCAACAAGATAACGCCGCTGGACTTATTCGTTGGCGATGTAGCGTCTTGGATTCCTCGCGCTCGGCGCTAAGCTTGAACCGCCCTTGCTCTTGAGTCAGCGTCTACCCCAATTGAATGCTTGCTTCTGGCTCGTAGTTCCTATCAGCGTGGCGCGGTGCATCGGCCTCCGTGACTGCACGAGTTCCCTGAAAGCAAAAAGGGAAAGCGGGCGATCAGTCTGACTGTGAAGATGTGCGCATGTACAAAAATTCAGACGGTGGGAAGAGAAACCGTGGAGCTGTCGCGCTCAAGTAAAGAAGCAATAGCTCCCGCAATGCGGGAGAGCGCATCTTCAGTAGAAACGCAGTCGCGCAGGGACAAGAAGGCGCCACCATCCCGCTGTTACTCGGCACTGATCGGCGTCCGCGGATGTCGCTCGGCCCCGTGTGGGTAGGAAGCCGCGTTATACGTGAGGGCTATCCTTGAGATCTTGAGAGGCAGTGTGATAGAGTTTCGTTACGACTCCACGAAGCAATGTTCTCGGCCCCGTGCTTCGCCAAAAAGCCGTCCGGGAAAAGCGCGCCTGACGTTTGAAGTACATAAGTCGGTAGTTGGCTTCGAGGCCGGATAGGCCGCCATGCTCTTCAGCTCTGACGACGACTCGTGGAGCTTAAACACGCCTAGCCTCGACGCCGCCGCGGAAAGCTTAGACGAGAGCGACTTGGAGACGTCGGCCGCTGGGTCCTCTATCCCATCCAGCATGCCTAGCCTCGAGGCCGCTACGGAGAGCTCAGACGAGAGAGAGTCGGGCTCGTCAGCCGCCGAGTCCTCTAATCCATACGGCGCGTCTAGCCCTCTCCCTCCTTCAGAAAAGGTCGTACGCCGGTGAGTGCCGGCGACAGTCGCGATGGGCCTGACGCTGATTGCTCTGCAGAGGGCGAGACTCGTAGCGAGCTCAACGAGGGTGGTGAAGTGTCTTCCTCAAGGAACGACGCAGTCGGCGAAGGTGGGCTTCTTTCCGCCAATTGGACGTAATTGACTGAGGCGTTAGCGATCTTGAACGGCGCAGGGGCGCATGCTGCAAGCATCGAGCGTTTGGAAGTCGATGAAGGTGGGCCTGGCGCTCGCGAGGACACTGCAGAGG